TTAAAAACAGATATAAATAGATTAAAGTAAAACAAAATCCAATTTTCCATTCTCCAATTTTAACTAGCTACGGGCAGCTGTGAAGGCATATCATTCGTGTCAGACTCTTTGCTTGTGCTGAAGTCAGAGATGGAAGGGGAGTCTTCTTGTTCTGCGTTTGGTCCAGGATTGGCACTTTGAAGATCATCTTCCTGAGGGAAGAGTTCAGGATGATGCCGAAAACACTCCTGCATGCTGCTGAACTGCTCCAGACAGTCTGAACCCTTCACCTCTTCTTGACTAAAGTGGAAGCATGCAAATGCATTCTTAAACTGCTCGCCACACACTCCACTTGCCATCCCCCCTAAACACGGACAGTCCCAATTTATCTCACCACTCGGCAAGATGAGACCTGAACACAAAGAGAAAGTGAGGTGGATATAAAATGGCAAAGTTACACAGTTTCATCTAAAAAAGGAAGTATTTCTTTCCATCTGTCACCTTTTTCTTCATGGTCCTCATTTGCATCCTCCTCATCCAGTTTCACAGTGCTAGGAATTTCATGTTCTTCCTTGGTAACAAATATGACTCGGTCTTTCCCTGTAAAGAGTTAATGATGAGAATTAATAGTTGTCAAGTAGGCAAGTAATTAATAACAACTTGAAAAGAAAATATATCCCTTTATTTCTTATTACTGGTGTTAACAATGTTAAAAACAATGTTTTTTTTTAAAAGGTTGTGGTAAACCACTTCCCAGGACAATTCAGATGTACACATTTCACCATCACATTAACTTTTTTTTTTTTTAATCTTTAATTTTTGTTACACTGTTAATTTTTAAGTGTTGCTTTTACATTGTGTAATGCTCATGATTCTTGTCTATTTCTGTCAATGATGAGTTATTCCTAGAAATGGAAATTTACAGTTGATCAATTTGTCACTTATGTTATGTGTTACTGTGACCCTTGACTCTTGTAATAAAACAATAATAATAATAAAAAAAAGTCCTTAGTGCTTTAATACATATAATCAGCTTAGAGAAGATTCAAAAATTAAAACATTTTGAGAGTTTAGATTTTCTTTTCTTTATTTTTCAGTGTGGCATGAACTCGCACTGTGGCACATGTAGAAGTATTCACGACAAGGTCATCGCTATCAACTCTAGTCTTATGGCTAGAATTGTTTCAGATCTTGCTTTAAACTTTAAGAGCAAACAGATAGCTAGTTATTGATAACATAAATCAATTTAAAAAAAAAA